GCCGCCAGGGAGGCGGGCGGCCGCGGACACCGAAAGCGTGGGCGCCGCGTCACTCTCAGGGCACAGGGCGGCAAAGTTGTGCCGGAACTGGCCCCTGACTGCTGCCCTACCCCTCCCGCGAGGGCGTACTTTTTTCCCTTTCTTGTCTCAGCTCCTCGGAGAGGTAAGGGCCTCCGTGGCTGCCTCGGTCCCCTGAGTGGAGAGGTTATTGGTTAATATCTGACCCCCCCAGGCTGTGATCTCCAGGAAGCTGGTTCATGTCCGTGACAAGCAAAGAGCAGAAGTCCGGACAACGTGCCAGGAGTGAAGGATAAATGGACGGACAGGAGCATGTGACCGCGATGTGATCATGTGAACGAGGCGCTGTGTGTATCAGTGAGTGTGACCACGTGTATGGTGGTTGGGTGTGACGGTGTCTGTGTGATAGAGGACATCATGGTGAGAGGATGTAATCGTGACGCTGGATGACAGCGTGAGAGATGGGGAAACTGCACAAAAGCATGTGGGTGACAGGCTCTTGACTGACCCTGTGTCAAGGTCCCTGGGTCTTCTGCAGCCACCAGAAGACAGGTGTCCCACTGGCCACCCACGGGCTGCACACAGCTGTAGCTACTCACTTCTGTGCCCAGCTGCCCTTTGTACCCTCAGCTCCGGGGCTGAGTCCGCCTGGGCAGGCAGGGTTGAAGACTTTCACCTCTGGGTCCAGAGGAGGCAGGCTGGGAGGGGAGGGAAGAAATCCATCCCAGCCCTCCTGGGGTTTAAGTCTGGGCCACTCTCCCACACATACCCAAGGGGAAGTAGGCTTGGTGGTTCCCCAGCAGTGCCACGGTAATCATTAAACCATTAAACCACATTCCTCACCACCCTCCCCGCCACACACACATGTACACAACCCGTTCCCTTTAGCCATAAGTCCTAGATTCCTGACTCACTCAGCTCAGCTGCCAGGCCCTGGATTTGCCCCCAATCCCAGGGGTCATGCAGCAGTAGTAATACCCCCACTCCCGCAGCACCGCGTGGCCAAGAGCGCCTCTGACCCAGACGCGTCCAACCGGGAAGCCACCTTCTGAGCTAGGTGTTGCCATCACGCCCATTTTACGGCTGAGGAAGCCGAGCCGCAGAGAGGCGAGGGCGGCCAGCTAGGAGGCAGCCCGTGTTCTTACCCTCCCGGGCTGCTGGAGCACTCGCTCCAGCCCTCAGCCCCGAAGTGGTCCCCACTCTCCTCCCACCCCGCCTGCACCCCACAAGGAAACAGGGCCTGTCACTCCCCGGGCACGACAAAAACACTTTTATTTACTGTCTGCGAGGTGAGATGAGAGCTCCTGACGGGGCCTGGCCCTCTGGCCTTCGCCCTCCCATCCCAGTGGGGACTGGTCCGGAGCCTCCAAGCTCAGGCCAGGCCCAGGGCCTGGGCAAGTGGGTGAGCTCAAGGCAGGTGGTCAAGGAAGGCAAGGAGGACAAGGTGGAAGTCTTTTGGCTTGTGGAGGTAGCAGGCATGGCCTGCGTCATGCAGCTTCACCACGGAGTGGTTGGGCAGGTGGCGGAGCTGCCGCAGCGACTCCCGAGCCAGGACGCGGTCCAGTTCCCCATACAGGATGAGAGTTGGGGTCTGCGGGGCAAGGCAAGGGGCTGTGATCCTGGCGCCTGATAGGGACTGGCCCTCAAGCCACCTGCTTAGGAAATCTTCCCCAAACACCCATCTCTTCCATCCAGATCAGGGATGGGGCCATGTGTCCTCCAGGTGAGTCCTTTCCCCCCAGGACTTGAGCCATGACAGGAAGCCAGTACCTTCACGGCCCAGAACTGTTCCTGGGTGTAGTTCTGGGTGGAGGCGGGTGCGATGGGCACGAATCCGTGCAGCTGGTGGTGGCTTCGCATCAGGAAGGGCAGGGCATAGTGGCCGCTCAGCGAGGGGCTCACCAGCACGGCCTTCTGCACCCCTAGGGCCCGCAGCACACGCTCCAGCAGCTCCGCCCGCCCGGCCTCTGTGCTGGCCTCCTTCGAAGGTGCCGAGTTCCCAAAACCTGGGAGCAGGAGGCACCGCTGAGGGAGGCTGGGAAGGAGCTCAGGACCGCTGCTCGCCACGGTGGGGGAAAGAGATGGGGAGCAGTGGCACGTGCCACATCTCCCCCAAATGTCCCAGAAGCTACTTTTTGTACTGTGATAGGCCTGCTAGAAAAACACCTTCCATTCATCATATCGGCAAAAGTGAAAAAGACTGATAAGATGTGGGGAGATGGCACTTCCATACATGACTGACGGGAGGAAAAACCCATGTAGCAGTTTCGGAGGGTAAGGTAGTATTTGTCAAAATTTAAAAGATGTGTGTCCTCCACCCATCAATTGTCCTTGGTAGCTTACCCTACAGAAATTGTTGGCCACAGGCTCAAAGAAGCATGTCAGAAGATGCTTCGGCTTCAATACTTGAGCATTTCAACTGACAGTGCAAACTCTGAGTCAACGTACAGCGCCCACCGGTAGAGGAATGGCCAGATAGAAGCTGTCCATCCCTCCACGGGCACACACTGCAGGGAGGGAGGTGCACAGCGGTGGGTATGATCCCTGAGACGTGGTATAGGGGGAGAAAACCAAATTGCGGATAGATTCGCTAAGCAGGCAGGACGCCAACCACGTTTACAACCCCCACCACACGACCCTGCATATCGTCTATGTCTCTAGGTATGGAAATGCCCCAAAAGGGTCTGGCACCCCCAAACTGCTTAGAGAAGTAAGGGAGGGAAATGTGGCATGGGTCCCTGAGGGTGTCACTCTCGTTTGATTTTTAAGGAGTGGTAGCATAAATCGTTAGTACAGTTAAAAAAAACAAAAAGCTCCCTAATTTGTGGTAAAAAGGACAGTGACTCTCCCCATGCCATCTCAGGGAAGCGAGTCACGTTTCCATTTGCTCCGTGACCTGCAACTATCCACACTGTAGTTTGCAAGGGTAGAAAATAAAGACACAGATCTTTTCATGTTGTCATCTTATATCGCGACCTGCCGCTGCTTGTCCAGATACTGGGGTCCAAGATGCCCCCAAGTCACATCTTAGGACTTTCCTACTCCCCCAATTTCCCCCTTGTACCTGCTGCAGGCTGCCTCCCCAGGCCCAGGGGTGGGGGCTCTCACCTGGGAGGTCAAGGGCCACGGCTCGGTACCCCCGCTGTGCCAGCAGCTGCAGCGTGCCCAGCTGCTCCCACGTGTGGGAGTTAAAGGCCTTTCCGTGGAGCAGTACCACCTCCACCCTGTGGGCACACAGCGGGGTGAGGGCTCTGCAGGTCTGGCAGTGGGCATAGTGGGGTGAGGGCCCTGAGGGTCCAGCAGTGGGCACACAGGGGAGTGAGGGCCCTGAGGGTCCAGCAGTGGGCACACGGGGGAGTGAGGGTCTTGCGGGTCCGGCAGTGGGCATAGGGGGGTGAGGGTCCTACAGGTCTGGCAGTGGGCACACAGTGGGGTGAGGGCCCTGTGGGTCTGGCAGTGGGCACACGGGGGAGTGAGGGTCTTGTGGGTCCGGCAGTGGGCATAGTGGGGTGGGGCCCTGTGGGTCTGGCAGTGGGCACACAGGGAAGTGAGGGTCTTGTGGATCCGGCAGTGGGCATAGCGGGGTGAGGGCCCTGTGGGTCTGGCAGTGGGCACACGGAGGAGTGAGGGTCTTGTGGGTCCGGCAGTGGCCCACTCTCTTCCTAGGCTTATCCCACTGCCCTCCCAGTCCCTGAGCACCCTTAGCTGAGCTGAGGTCCCACACAGGGACTCCCGCGGGCCTAGTCTTTCCACTATACCCTGGGGTTGGCACCCACCTGCGTGCCCGGTGAAGTGGGAGCACCTCGCGGTAAAAGATGGGGGAGTTGCCAGGAGTAAGACCAGCCAGGATTGTGACATTGGGGTCTCCCCAGAGCCAGGAGGACTGCTCAGGGGGGCCTGGCAGCCCCACGTACAGTAGCAGCATGAGCAGCAGGCCCAGGCCCAGCAGGGCTACCTGGAACCGGCTCATGGAGGTCTGTACCACAGCCTGGAGGAGGAGAGGAGAGGGAGAAGAGGCTGGGGCTGAGCCCCCGCCAAGGCCCTCTGGGCTCCAACCCCAAACCCCACCCAGAAGCCCCCAGCAGAGGAAAAGCTCAGCCCTTGCCCTTCCCCCTGCTCTGGGCAAGGGTCTGAGGGTCCACACCCAACTACTCCACATGCCAGAGTAAGGGCTCAGGTACCCCACAGTGTGAGAAGGAGCACCTGAGATGTCCCCCGGCACACAGCATGCTCAGAGACCACTATCCTCACCGCCAGCTAATACCACTCCCGTGCACTGAGCTCTCTGACAGCTGGGCCCTGTGCTTGGCCCTTCACGTACGAAAGCTCATGAATTCACACAAAAACACTGGAGAGCCGACATGATTACAGGTCTCTTACAGATAAGGAAACTGAGGCTTAGGGGGTAAATTCTCTTGCCCGAAGTTCAGTAAGCAAGTAGAGGAACCGGGATTTGAACCCAAGGCTGGGCTCCTAAACACCGAGCCACACTCGGTTCCCCAAGGCAGAAAGCACGGTGCTGGGAGGTGACGGATGGAATGGAGCCCTGCTGGTGGGTAGAGTGAGGGGTGTCAAGAGACATCCTGCTGAGGGCACCTTTGGAGATGTGTGTTTTTTTGTGTTTGTTTGTTTGTTCGTTTTTTTATCACACTGCATATAATACTGCTAAAATCAGAATGTGTTTTACACCTGATGGGAATATTTAATGCCCCACCCCAGCTATTAAGTGGGAGGAGGGCTCATGGGGAGTTTGTGAAGGAGGGAGAGCTGAGGCCCGAGGGGCTGCGGAACTAGGGAGGAGAACCAGACACTTAGAAATGGAAAGGGCAGCATGGAGGCTGGAGCAAATGACCACCTCCCCAGCTTCATGCCAAGTCCATGACCTGCTTCACGGACTCCTCCAGTCTGGGTCCTTTGCATGCCCAGAGGACAGACCTCAGGACCCAGGAACCAGACAGAGCAGTTAGCCCTGGCTTTGAGACCCATTCTGCCACTTCCTAGCCCTGCAAGTCTTCAGTTGGTCAGTAAAATGGAGAGAAAGATAACCTCACCGCTGCCCTCCCAAGCCTCCTGTGAGATTTCAACAATACAGTGGCCTTGACCAGGAGCTGTCCTGTCGTCATTTGGGGCGCCTAGGAGGAGCACGCCTGCTTGTTCCCAGATTCCAGTAAACACTTCTTTATCCAGTGCCAACTGGACATTGGCCTGAGCTGCGAACTGGAAACCTGCATCCAGCTCCACCCACCTCTCTGGAATGTTTCCCCAGAGAAACATCCCACCCCCAGACTCCCAGGTCAGGTGGAGACCCAGGAGCTGAGCAGAGGAAGAGTGCGCTCCTCTCTTCTCTTTGACCACCACCCGCCTAGGACGCAGCTCTTCCAAGCCGTGGTGGCTTAGGTTCCCATCAGGTGGAGCAGGAGCATCGGCTCTGGACCTCACCTTGCAGGTGAGCCTGGGGCACAGGGGGCGCCTCTCCGGGTAGCGAGGGGAGGGACATCGGCCGTTGCCTTGGCAACTCAGGGAGCTGGAGCATTAGAAAACGTGGTCTAGCTACAGATACTGGGGGCGGGGGCTGGAGAAGTCCCCGTGTTAGGACCTTGGCACACGTGTCGACAATGACAGGTGTACACACG